GTTGAAAATTGAAGCATTTCCTCTCTAAAACGGTGAAAGTAGAATCTGGTTGATAAGCCTGAAAGCCACTGAACGATTATGGTTGAACTCTCGTTAATGAAGCTCCAGAGGTCCGGAATTCTGAATTTCTGCGGGTGGGAACGTGGAAGCTATTCTGCTGAAGTGCCAAGCATGCAAGAACCCAACTTGGCTGATAGAATCATTAAATGGAAGCCTGTCAGCGGAAAAGTGGAAATCTTTTGACTGAAGTTACAACATGCTAATGAATGTTGTTCCAGCACTATGCATTCAGTTTGGATAGAGAGAAAATATGGGTCCTTCCTGGAGGAAGTAGGGCGTACTCTGAGCAAAAGGCTGACAATGCAATTCATCACTCTTTTGAGTGAATTAATGCGCATGTCAGAGTAGATGCTTAATTGTGAAAACTCGTAATTCATGATTACGGCTTTAGAGACTTCAACAATAACGGCATGAGGTTGTTACACTTTTCTGTAAATAACGGATTGTCTGTTGCGAACATTTCCTTCGAACGTCATATCATGCATCAGTATACATGGTATAAGGAACCTTGTCGATAACCCATTTAATAATCCTATTGTCTGACTTACGACGCTCTGTAATGAATGTTCACATTAAGAGAAATGCCCAGCTATCAGCTGATCGTGATCTTCTTGTTTCACGCCCTTCTCAGTGTAAATGATGGTGCACTATGCGAAAACTTAGCCGTAGTAGGGAACCTGAGAATCAAATGGGAAACATTACCTTCTGTGAATACAAGGGCGAAACGTACAAAAAGCATCGCGTAACGATTTGAATATATTTCGGTGATGATGGTCGATCTGGAAACCGTGTGCAAGTACTTTGAATGGGCTTTCTCATGGCTGCTGCAGAATGCTGCTATTTCAGCGGGTTGGCGTGCCGCCTGAGGGTCAGAAAGAAACTCCTTGGTACACAACAGCTGCTCAACTGGCCGTCAGCGAATAGAAAGCTGCATTCGAAAGGTGGCTAGGAAGCGAAGAGCCTTCAGCTCGAATGTGGTAAGAAGAATCGAGTAGGGCGATGGCGAAAGGAGTGACGGAAACTAAAGCTGATTTTCGGTTTGCTGCAGACGGTTTTAAATATGTGTCTTTTTCCTGGACAAATATGCCCTCGTATAGCATGCGGAGCTGTGTCAGGAACAGACATCAGTATCTTGTTAGGTGACTGGTGGTCATTATGAGCCGTTCTCATTTTCATTTCAGCAGTGGACTTCAAAGCATTCACTCCACCATACTTGGCCATCTCATGCGATCCCGCATTTTCTGGTTATGTACTTCTCCAAATATAACGATGGTACATATGTTATAACATATTAACGACATTAATTGACTGATCCTTCTTCATAATTAACGGGCATCACCACTGTCTGGTCTTGATGCCAACATTCGTGTGTCTTTGACGAGTTGTTGTCAGATTTTCCACATTTCCCCGTTAGCTCACGATCCCACTTGTCGTCCTGCTCAGTTGGGCACTTGCAACGTTTTAAGGATGAACCTGTCACTGCCGAAGTTCATCGATCATTATTAAATCGTGGGATGTGGCTTATCCACTGTCGTTTCCCCTTTTTATGAAAGTGATACTGCATACTATTGTGTTCCCGCGAGTTTTCTTATTTCTTCATTGCATAATTTTCTCCTGCTGGAAATTCCCAGTTTCCTTTTTTCCCTAGTCCGTTGCTCCACTCTTAACTTTTATTCATCTTTCTTCGTTAATGTCAAGGTTTCGCAATGATATAGAGCTTTTTTCATTCCTTGCTGTTTTGTCATATACGAATTTGACATGGTTACATTTCATAATACACATAAGAACCAAGGTTTCCATTGCCTAGTTCGTTTTCCACAT